TATTTGGGAGAGCAGATTGAGTTGTGTACTTCGGGTAAAGATGAAAACGTATGAAAAGCAGTTTTACATTGAATGAAGTACATGTAGGGTGAAATTTGAAGGGGTTACCAACGAGGGCTCACATTGTTTTGTAGGGGCACTGAAAGCAAACTAACGGTGGCTTGTATAGACTCAAAGTTTCAAATGGGGGCACCAGGGGAGGGGAGACTGCTGCTGGGGGTATTCTCCCCCAAGTTACACCCTGTATTAGATTAACACAATTTATTGTAATCTTGGGTTCAAAGCTTAGATTAAAAAGAGAAGGTAGACTCTACCATGATATGCACCATTTGCACAAGTACCTATAAGTACTGCTCCCTAGTGGATTCCTGTCTAATTTTGTCTGTCTGTCGGTGCAGTGGTGATAGGCGCCACTGAGGTATCATGCGAGAGCCTAGATGAAGTCCTGAACTGCCTAGCCATTGGATCGGCTCACCGACACACCGGAGCCACTAACATGAACGAAGTGTCTAGCCGCTCTCACTCCATCTTCACTATGGCATTACGTAAGTCAGGAGTAGTAAGGAGAGGCCTGATATTGATTTAGATGAGTGGAAATTAAGTTGCATGATTAGTAATGGATTGAAAAGTTCGCGTAGTAAAGAAAATTATGTGGAGTTGATTTTGTTGCTTTTAGGTTATTTTACGATCGTTTATCTATGACATGTTTGCCGTTCTAACTCACCAGATGTTTTTGCCACTGGTATACGTCCAGTCCTTCAAAATTCTCACCTTTGTAGGAATCCGTCTAGTGACATAGTTTTAAACCAAAATTTGCTAACAACCATCAAGCACTGTTTAAGATTACAGTGGCTTGATTCTACCTTCCTCAATCCTTCAAAACCTTGAAGTAGATTTTGAAGGAACTGGGAGGGAGGAAGTAACAAGGTGCCAGTCCTACAGAGGGGTTGCATGGGGTGCTCTCACAGAAGACCTAGGTCTTTGTTCCTGCGTGATATGCTAGAGTAGACCCTTTGGTAATTCATTGCCATGAAATCTAAATAAACAACATGTCCTCTGTGGGGGCGCTCTATGCAGTGCCCTCTGTTGTTGCATTGAGTAATTATTAATAATTGTAATATTTTATTCATTTATAAAGTGCAAATTTCATAAAAATATGTTCAAATGCACTGTAGATTAAGAATCTAGTGAAATTACTCTGACAAAATACATGTGTGAGCAAGTTAAACAAGATACATCCACAAACAAATTAAATAAATTCATCTAAAAACTTGCCAAAAACATATATACAAGAACAATTTACGCGTCCACCTACATGTACATAAGAACCAAAGATAAAAGAGCAAATGATGACGACTTTTAACCCTACAATTTTTTATTTAATTAATTGCATGTTATGTTGTTATCAGAGCAACGTTGGGAAGACCCAGCCAACATCCAGGGCAGGGAACCAGCGCCAGACGAGGACCAGCCTGAAGCGAGCGTGCACACCACGGCAGCCAAGTTCCATTTTGTGGATCTAGCGGGGTCAGAGAGAGCCCACAAGACTGGCAATGCTGGTGAAAGATTCAAAGGTAGTCTACTGATTAGACTGACATTTGATTTGATTAGATGAACAGGAAAGATGAAGACACTCAGTGTCTATGTACAGATTCAGAGAAGCGTCTGTTTGACAACTTAGTGTGGCCTTCCACATTGACTTCCACCCAGACATTCACTTTGCTCTCTGTGCTGCAGTGGGCCAGACCAGTTAATCCGTCTTTAACTTTCTTTTTCAAGTAAGTCGTGTTTATATGTAACCAGGTTAGGGTTTAAAACAGTGTTAAACATGGACGTGTGTACTACTTTGAAATATTAAAAAAATACACATTAAAATTTAGCCAACAATTTTTTAGAGGAATTCTAAAAGTGACAAAAATTAATTGTGATTCAATGCTTTAAAGAATAGTGTTGTAGTGGAGACTACAGGCCCTCACAAGGCCACACAAGACCAGCACAAGACCAACACAAGACCCCCGTCTGAATTCAAGCCACACGCTATTCCAGTGAACTGCAACAAATGCATTCCTTTGTCATTGTTCGACCTGTTATTGGGCTCAGTCCCATGCATGGCCTTGTGATGGTCTCGACTGCAACATTGATAAAGAAACACACATTAAACTGAATGAAATTAGTTCTACCAAACAGACAAGCATACCAGTGGAAGGACAGACTTCAGCAGACAGATGGGGACAAGGAACAGACCAAAAGATTGACCAACCGACACGCAGACAGACATAACAAGACAACTATTATGCCAATGTAGCTTTAAGCTGGCACACATTTGATGAGTGTTAGTCCGGCCGCATGTAGAATTATTGAACAATCTTGTGTATTCCTTTGATAAGTTGTTTGCGTATCAACAGCATGCGATATTAGTGCACCTTTCGTTCTTGCCGTTTCCTGCAGAGTCTGTTCACATCAACAGCGGTCTTCTTTCCCTGGGTAACGTCATCAGTGCCCTGAGCGATCCCAAGAGGCGGGTGTCTCACATTCCTTACCGAGACTCCAAGATCACCAGGATCTTGAAGGACTCGCTGGGAGGCAACGCCAAGACGTGCATGATTACCTGCATCAGCCCCTCGGCCGTCAACTTTGACGAGACCCTCAATGCGCTCAAGTATGCCAACAGGGTAAGAGTCAGCAAGTTTATTTTTCCATCTCATCAAATAAGAACTGCTGCTGAGATAATGTCACCTCTCATTATTTTTTGTCGTCGTCTTAATTCTTTTTTTTTTTTCATTTCCTTAGTAAGCCCCTTTTTTATGCTTTTACATTTATAAATGCTTTTATTAAGATGGCTTTTTTGTTCATTTTAACGGTACAACTTCATGTTTCATTTATTTTTTACTGTCTTGATGATGCTGTCAATTCACCAACAATTCGGCCTTGTGTTGCTAAAGGGGGATATTTTAATAAACCATCATTGATTGATTGAATTGCGGTGACACTAGTTTTCAGGTGAAAGCTTGCTTTCAGGATTTCTCCTTTCAACTGTTGGCTAATAGTAATTCCAGTGTAGACAAAACCATCCAGAGACCTGTCTTAAGACCAGACACAAGTAACAGGGTGAACATTGACAAAGGAAAGCTTTTGTTGCAGTTTATTTGAATAGCTTGCGACTTGAATTCAGAAAGGACGTCTTTCAGTTACACTGTTTTGCTCTATCTCGGAGTGAAAGAAATCAAATATTTTTTATCAGGCACGCAACATTAAGAATAAGCCGATTGTGAACCGAGATGTCAACTCGTGTCGTATCGCCGCCATGCAGACAGAAATCGAGGCATTGAGAGAGGAGTTACAGAGGCATCAATCAGCCAAATCCAATCGTCACTACGTAAGACGCTCACTTGAATTGATCAGTCGTTGAGAATTTTCTCTTTGAGAGAAGCTCACCGCATTGTGTGTCTCTGCTGTTTAAAGAGCAGTTACCTTTGGTGTGGAGTGCCCAGGCCAGGGTATCTCTGTTGAGTATGTGTGGTTCTGAAAAGAACTGGAGGGCACTCAACCTTTTGGACAGTATGCTCTGTCTGTCGCCATTGGAACTTTTGTCGACGACGGGCAAAGCATACTCTCTGAAACGTTGAGTATCCTCCGGTTCTTTTCACAACCACTCCTACTCAAAACAGATGTCCTTGCACGGTGCTACCCAAAACCTCTCTGCCTTGCCGCCTTCACTATGCAAAGCAAGCTTCAGAGCCCCAGTTCCTCTCAGCTGAATTAGTTCCTTTTATCAACAGGAAGATGCTGATTCACAGAGAGTCAAGGATCTAGAGGGCAGCATTATCAGGTAAATAAGTCCCATGATATGACTTACTTTGAGCAGCCCCCCCTCACTGTTCTGAGTGATGCGCAAGTTGAGCTTTTCAAAGTATTCATCCAGAACCAGACTATCTTAAAATGGAAATCGCTTTTGAAATTATGCTTTGCACAAAAGCAGAATCTTTGAGGAACCTCACCCCTGAAATAAAATCTTTTAAACCGTATTACCTACTTTTGGATGGTGAAGTTTGTTAATTTCATGGATACTGTAATTTCATTGACCAAAGTTGTAAAAGTAGAAGAAACTTGCTTAAGTATGAGAAAACCTTGCTTGATAAATCAGGTAACCAGCTAAAACTCCATGTGGTGTTTATTGTTTGGGATCGTATTTAGCTGTCTTTTGGTTAGCATGACAGTCAGATAGAGTTTGAGTTGGTAACCTTGGTTTTTTTAAGCAGGGTTTTTTCACGCTTAAGCAAATTTTGTGCTTAAGCAGCTTTATGAAATTGGCCCCGGATGGTTGTGGAGGTATCAGGATTGTGGAAGTAACCACCTGGACAACTCTGTTTTAATCTTGATGCCCCTAGAATGCTTAAGTATCCACTCTGAGCGGGAACAAACGAGGGCGTGTTTTTTATATGAACTTGACAGTCCTTTGATACAAACTTACCTCATAGATGCACAAGTTTATGTGTATTTGACGCAGGGCGCGCTGAGTGCGTGCAACAAATTTATTCTAGAATGTATGGTCTTCACTTGCACGCCGAACACGTGCAAGAACCTGGTTGGACAAACTTTGTACCAGTCTGTCTTTGTTTGGCTGCTGAGGGTGCCCTTCAACTCTGGGTGAATTGAGGAGACGCCATTGGTTTCCTGCACAGTGGAAGATTTTAGAAGATTCTGGAATTGTGCAAAGTGCATCAGGAGCTAGGGTTCAAAAATTATTCTCGACTGCTGTGATGTGGGACGTGTTTTTTCCTTACCCCTTGATTATGCTTGGCACCTTTGGCTTCTACTTGGGTGCTGTGCTTGCCATCGGATGTGAGAAATACCATTTCTCACATCATAAGAGCAAACAGTTGTTAATTGTCTTTGTCTTTGAAGGTTGCGAACCCAGTCGGCCCACTACCAAGTCTGCACCGAGGAGGCTGTCAAATTACTCAGTGTTCTCCAAGACAATGATAGTCTGACGGAAGATGAGGTCACCGCCATCAGGAATTGGTTAGATTTAGCCCAGGAAGCTGTAGACGCTAACAATGACATGCAAACAATGGTGCTAGGCAATCAACAGGCTGCGATCGAAGACTTACAACAGAAATTGAAAAAGGTACGAGACCCTCATTGCTTTTTCTTAAAATTTCCTACTAAAACATTCTGTTCTTTTGTATTATTATTTGAAACACAGTGTAAAAGGTCAAACTTCCAAAGACCTCTCCCTGACCCAAGCTAACATTTAGATTGCTTTTCTTCAAGATCATTCCTAGTGTTTATCATGTTCATATTTGTCCTGCCAGGCACTTGATGATCTTGCCAGCGACGAAGAGATCTTCAGTGCCAAGACAAAAGAGAACAACGATCTGCTGGCTAGAATCAAGGAACTAGTGAGTCTCATTTACTTCAATTTTTTTTGTACTATGCAATCCAAGCTTGATATGCAGAGGAGATCATTTTTCTGCCATAGAGATGGGGAGTTCAGTGGAATTTTTGCTCATCCTGTCGTAGGAAAAATTGCACAACGAAACAACGAACAGA